AATAATTTGGGTTATCGTTCGTCTATGGTAATTTTTTATTAGGTCGTGACCAACCAAATTAAATAAAAATATAAGAGCCCCTTTGTAAAATGTATTCCAATGCAGGCACCCGATGCTGGTTATTGGTTTAATACGGTAGGATTGTATTCGGATACGATTTGCAACCATCGATCGAAGCTTGCAGGAATTTGTTTATCATGTTCGTTCTACGTTTTTTTTTATTTCAATGCTATTTCAATAATTTTGCACTTAAATATCTAATTCTACTTACCAAAGAGATTTTATTTATGCCAGAGAAGAAAGGGTTTCCGTTCGGCTATCTTCCTTCAGCTATAGGAAAGATCCAGGTTCAGCCCTGCGGCTGGAACAATATATTGTTTTGATTGCTTCAATATGTAAAATTGTTCTAACAACTCACTCACCATTTAATTCAATCTCCGATGGGATGATCCTCCAGGATTGCATTCTCAGTTTGAATCCTGTAAAAATATTGTTAGCATTATTTGTTGATGTTTTGCTGGGAGCAACATATTTTTCATTTTGAAGAAATCTCAATAATTTTGCATTTAAAAATTAGGATTTACTTACCATTCTTACCGGCGCTACTTTTCTGTTCATATTTGCTTGCTGTTATTGAATAAAACAATTACAATAACACGTAAAACATAGTTTTCTTATCACAAACTTGAAAATATATGCAGTTTGACAGATGATCTCAAGTTCATCACCGCTACGATTACAGCGCCGCGGTGGCCGGCATAAACTTGGATTTGTCAATGCCATCCTATTCTTGTGACATCAAGTAGCAAAAACGTCCAGCTGTTGTTGAAGGAAAACTGAATCACTACGATCCTCTGCGACAAAATACAGTTTAAAATCATCCGCATAAGATAGCTTCGGACACCTGATTGAATAATGAATGTCATTCAAATACAGCAGAAATATAAACTGCCCAAAATGACTATCTTGTGGTACACCAGAAGAAACCGGAAGCGACTGAGAAATACGGTCACCTATTTTCACTGACATTTGACGACCGGTGAGGTAAGAACGAAGCCAATTAAGAAGGGGACCATGGAAGCCTAATCGCTCTAATTTGGTAACAGCAATCTTGTGGTTCATTTTATCAATCGCAGTAGAGAGATCCGTGTAGATAGCATCAACTTGCTCGCCTTTTTCAAGCCCGCGAAACAAAAAAAGATGTGTATTGCACGAGATTTGATGCAGTGGATCTCTTCTGCATAAATCCATGTTGTTTGGAGGCAACGTAACTGGAGCAAGTGTGTTTAAAATAATCCAACACTAGCAGCTCAAAAAGTTTTGAAACTGCGCACAAAGCCGCAATGCCTCGATAGTTGATAACTGGCTGTTTATCGCCTCTTTTGAAGACAGGAAAAACGAAAGAATTCTTCCAGCCATCAGGGAAGATTCCAGAATGCTAGTGGTGTGCTCAAGACTCCTACACAATTTGTAATCACCACAGATGGAATTCCATCAGGGCCAATACTGGAAGAATTTTTTAAGCGAAGGCCTGCTCTTTGGACGTCATCTCTCGATAAAGGTGGATGAGATTCAACAGCCAAACGTATGGGAACCTCACTTGCTGCATCTGAAACGTGTTCGTCGGAGAGCTCCTCGTTGACGAAAACACTGCAGAAATGTGACCTGAATAGATCCGCGATACCATCCACATTAGACATTTCTCTCCCCGTTGAACATCGTGGAGGGCAGACCCGATTCTTTTCGTTGATCTGTCACGTGATTCCAGAAGCTTTTAGGATTAGTTTTGAGCTTATTCTGTAGTTGACACTGGTGTTCTAGGTAGAGTTGCTTGTTGTACTGCTTGTGCTGATTGTACGAGGGTTTGACCATGGCGGGTGAGTTGGTATGACTGATCGATTGCATAAACAACAATATTCGTAAAAATAGTCGAGGAAATATTTACGTCAAAATCACGCAGTTCTTCATCTCAGTTTATGCTCTCGAAAAAGGCAGTCATTCCATCGAAGTCAGTCTTCCAGTAGTCATATGAAGTGCTATCCTTAGTGTTACGAAAAGAAAATGCATGGCTCACTTTCAATGATATCTGCAGAAATGGTTGATGCCTACGCTTAACTAGTGGCACAGGCGCCTCATAAATCGAGCAACGAGAAGCAACCTCACAGCTAAGAAAACATAAATCAAGCAATCTATCATTCTCATTGGAAACACTATTTAGTTGCAGGAGATCAGCAGTACTGTAGCTGTCCCGAAGAGCTGCTGCCAAGGGTGCAATGTTTGAGCAACTGGATTGAGGATGGAGGAACGCGGCGTCATTCCAGGACCATTTGATAGACGATAGATTGAAATCACCAATTATGAGGATGTCGTCATTTCAAACCAAAAAAAAAGAGTGTTTAAGTGTTGATCAATCAACACGGAATCTCCAAGGCGGTCCGGGGGCAGATAAAGCACACAGACTAAAACCACTTTCGATTGTAGAGAGATGGACACCCACAATTGTTCGACACCAGTACAACTAGGTGGATGGAACTACCGAGATTGAAAGACTGATCGAACAGCAAGTAGAACTCCTCCACCAGAATTTTTGGAGCTCGTTTCTCGAGAACGGTCAGTACGATAGACAGTAAAGACCAAACCATATATGATTGTCTAAGCCTGAGAACTTACTCAAATTTCTAAAATTATCAAAATTTTCGCAACTATGAAACTTTACAAATTATGAACGCTTCAAAGTCCAGAAGTCCAGAATATCGACATTCCAGCACCGTAAAAACTAAACTCTCAATCTTCAAAATCTACCAAAGTACTAATCCTTAAAAATTATCAAAACACCAGCACATACATACATTGGGAAAATTTTATTAATTGCAGTATCTAAGCAGAACCACGTCAAATAGCCTAAAAAAGCGCCTCGACCTTCTCCTATTTGCATAAAACTGTGTAAGTTTGTATGGCAATCATTTACAGTTGTACTTAAATTCGGCGATTTTTGATGATGAAAATTTTATCAAAATGGCGTATTTGCTATTTTTTAAAAACCGTAGCATGTAAACGTCCCTTCATATCAAAATGAAGTCTGAGACAAATTTGTAGGGAAAAATAAAATCTTCCCAGGAAGAAATATTCAAAAATGTTTCTTCCTTCCTTGATTTGTTTTCCGTCGATCTTGTTTTCCGTGCTGAACACGAATGCTTCCGTAGTGGTAAGCGTGATTACCTCTCACCCCAGCAGGCCTGGGTTCAATCCCAGTCGGTGCCGCCGGGATGTTCTGAGGCATAACATCTCTGATCACGCCTTCCTTCGGATGGGAAGTAAAGCCGTTGGTCCCCGCTTCATGAGTTGATGGGTCGATAGGTAGGGTCCAGGTGTGGGAGCTGCCTTCCTGGCACGTCGGTAGCATTGGTGCTCAGCACGGAAAACAAGATCGACGGAAAAAACAAACCAAAGGAAAAAAAAAAAAAAACTAACCTACTAACCTACAACTTCTATATACACCTATACTACTATAAGCATGTTCTGATGTGTTGCATGTTTGCACAAGCCTAGTCTTAATGTCAGCAATTTTGAAATCTAATATAGGAACGTTCGCTTCTACATGGAGATCGGAATTTCTTGTATCGAAAGGACGATGAAGTACCATCCGCAGCACTCTATTCTGAGCGACCTGGATTATGTCCCTGTGAGTCTGTGAACATTATTCCCACACCGAGGCTGCGTAGAGGATTTTTTTTGTGGTAAAAGTCAATTTGCTACATCCAGATGAAAATTCAATTCAGCTATATCAATTCTACCGTTAAAATCGTTAACGAAGCAGATATATGTAATAAACATATTCAGAATTGCCACTCTCTGTCTGTTTATTCCTAATAGGGCAGGTCTTCGCAAGTCCTCAAACTCGAGTCGCATCCACCCAAGATGCCTGCCATTCTCTGCTGAAGAACCGTCCAAGCCGGGCAGACGCGAGCAGAAGCGCAAAATTTGTGGGAGAGAGTTTCTGCTGTACGGTTACCACAATGCGTGCAGTTTTCTTCATCTACTCGCCGCATCACGAATAGCAGTTTGCGGTGCTCTATCTTCTCGTTCATCAACAAGTAAAGCTTCGTTCTCTGCGCTGAAGTAAGCTGAATTGATGCAATGTTTCGCCATGTGCGTGACTAGTCACTTGCTGGACTGTTACTATTTCAAAACCTGGCAACGCCTTTGGGTATAGTTTTTGAGAGTTTGAGAAATAAATTGAGACCAAACCAGTTTAGTCAACGCAAACAATATTAACTATCAGTTCCAACGAGAAAAGCTGCAGGCCCTCATCAACCGATGTTTACCGTATATAAATCGTGACATTGGGTTCTCCGGCACTTGGTCAGTAGTTCAGTTACTAGAGCGATTAGGAGCATCACTTTTTTTTTATCTCCAAAGGGGGAGTTTGGTAAAGAGAGATGATAGAACCGATTTGTACCTTCCTAAAGTTGTCCTAGCTCGCTTTCTACTCTCTATATGCAATTTTCACACTGCCGTACTCTAAACCGAACTATCAATTCTATACTTTCATCTTCTCATCTATCGTATAAAAATTGCCACATTAGTCTGTTATTGGAAATAGCATCTTCGACTATGCTATTTTAAAACTATTTTTTTTTCAAACGAGCTTATAGCTTTAAGTGGTGCCGTAACTGAGTCTCCTGGCACTGTTTGAATAAAGTTTGGAATTGTCAAGTCTGCCCACGGGTGTTATTCCTCTCACCACTCTTTACTGCTCAAGTTCAGGTACCAATCAGATCCTTCTTATGACAACAGAAAATTCTCAGCCATAAACATTGACTAGACAATCGGCTCCCAGGCAACAAATGACAAACCACTGCTAACTGAAATTTACCATAGGTACGAAGGCGGCCGTTATTGGTACCTGTGCGACTACCTTCTGCTTAAAAGAATCCAAACGCGATGGACTTTGAAGCAGAAATAGTGCAAAGCCACTCGTCACCGGGAGTTTTCCAAACATGGCACTCGATATCACGGTTCGGGTAATTCTTTTGATTGTAACTGTCGGTGTTGTAAGCTGTGATCAATTTTTGTTGGAGCAAAACTACACGGATTCAGAACTCTACGAAATCGGATCGTGTATGGTGAATTGTGTGACGGTGCCACTGCAGATGTGCTTCGATGGATGCGCCAATCGATCGAAGAATCATGATTTATGGGTAACGAAAAATGCATCGGATTTCTCCATCAAATTGGTGTGTCGCGACAGTGTTAAACTGGTGCTGAATGTGGATAGTGAATACCGAATGGGTTTAATCAATATCATCAAAGTGAAGCAAAACAACGGAAACGAGTGGAACGAGATCGTTCTGGTCAGTGACACCCCAGCCGTTGAGATTGTTAATCTACAACCAAATCAAACTTATCACGCATCCGCAATTGTCCTGATTTCCAGCGTTGAATTTGCACTTGTATACCAACCAGCTTCGTTTGAAACTATGCCTTCGGATTACATTCCGGAAGCAATCAATGAAACAGAAGTGCTCAGCTTCCAGGTAAACCGACAGGATGAAATGTTTGTGGATGCTATCATCGGTTGGAAACCTACCGCGGATAAGGTTTGTCACTACGCAATCTTACATTACTCGCCACATTCAACACACTTTCAACCGAATCCAGTTGAAGTGCATCAACTTGGTGGACCGTATCAAGCTTCGCTTGAATCGCTGCAACTCGACGCAGAGTATGAAGTGGCAGTTCGAGCGATGAATCCACCCCTCGATAGCAGACTGCAGTGGATAAACTTCCGAACGCCTAGCTGTTTTGAAGTTCACAATCACAGTCGGTTGTGTGCACCGGAAGCGGTGTCGAACGTGTCTGTTCAGGCCGTTCACCTATCCGGTAGGGAATATCAGTTGAACATCACTTGGAGTCAACCAGCAATCCTACCGGATTCATACGAGATCCACGTGTACGATCTTAACCCGGATATGAGCGATGACTTGGCCCATTCGGTTTCGCTGAACGCAACCGGCAATGCCACTGATATCCTGGTGGAATCCTTCCCCGTTAATGGTGCGCAATTTGAAGTGTTTATCGTAGCCCACGCCAACAACCGAACCAGTGCGCAGAACGTCATAAGTACGGTGCAGCCTGAACGCAGCACCAGGAATCACTGGATCGACGCACTGGTGGTGATTATCATCGTCAGTTTGGTAGTGATTGGTAAATTCTTGATTGATTATTCTTGTAAACGTTGCGGTCGGATCAAACGATATGACAAACCACGTACGTGGAAAGGTTTGGAACTGAGCAGTGACATTGAGATCAAGATGGAGAACCTGGAGAGCGCTGTACAGTTACAAGTGCTTCCCGGAGAGCTGATTGCACCGATCAATGATGGAATGGAGGTCGCTTTGGAACATATTCAACTACTGGACGTTTTGGGTGAAGGTGCTTTCGGTTTGGTGCGGAAAGGCGTACTGTCGACGCCTTCGGGAACGACCCGTGATGTGGCCGTGAAGATGTTGAAGGAATGTCCCAGCTTGGCCGACATTAAAGCGTTTCGACGGGAGATCGAGGTGATGAAATCGGTTGGAGCGCATCCGAATATTGTGTGCGTTGTTGGACAGTATACGAAGAACGTGACCAAGATGATGCTGCTGACCGAGTACTGCAGCGATGGAAATATGCTGGACTACTTACGATCGGTGTGGAATGGGATTCTGAGATGCCGATCGTCTTCCAAACTGGGACGGACAACCGAACACGGTTCGGGCTATGAGATTCCGCGAACTGACTTTGAATTTGACACGGAATCTATGGTCGAAAACAAGCTTTATCACCACCATCATCGAAAATCATCGCAGGAGTACGATAATCAGTGCTATTTCGATGAAGACAAAAAAGAAGATCGATACTCCATCAAGAGCGACAAGCTGATCGAGTTTGCGCAACAGATAGCATTTGGAATGGAGTTTCTAGCGCGAAATAGGGTAGTCCACCGAGACTTGGCTGCAAGGAACATCCTGGTGTTGGACGGAAAGGTTGTCAAAATATCCGACTTTGGGCTGAGCCGTGACATCTACCAGGATAACGTGTACCACAAAACAACCAACGGAAAGCTGCCGATCAAGTGGCTTGCCCTGGAATCGCTGACCCACCAGGTGTACACGTCCCAGAGCGATGTGTGGTCGTTCGGGATAGTGCTGTACGAGATTTGTACTCTCGGTGGAAATCCCTATCCGCTGCTGTCGACGAGCAAGTTGCTGCTGCAACTCAAGGGTGGCTATCGGATGGAGAGACCGGCCAGCTGCAGCGAGGATTTGTACGCACTAATGCTAAGCTGTTGGAATGCTGTGCCGAGTGAACGACCCACCTTTTCGGCGGTGAGAAATCGGTTGCGAAAACTGATCGACCAGAGCAAGGAGTCCGGTCAACCTGTGATTGATCTAAATGCAATTGTAGATTAGCTGTCTGAATAAATCCGAATAAATGAAAGTTTAACGCATAAGTCACTCTTCCGATTTGAATCGCATTTTCCACCCGTAAAATATCACATCCTCGCAGGATGTGTATCATTCACCACAGCACACGGCACCGACTGTATCGATGGTCTGATGGTGAAACAGCATATTTTGCTTGGAACTTGTTGTTACCACCATCCATCGTATCACCCCATATGAATGGAAGTGCAATGAAATGGTAAATGCAATGCATTCACGTGGAGATGACGCCAGTCTGTGGATCGATGCATAAAGCAGCGCCGGTCACGTGAAAGAATTGCAAGGTCCTTTCGGAATAGAGCGATAAATCATATCCGGATGCTTTCCTCAAATGTGCAGTAGCGTGAAGGAGGGGGGGGGGGGGGGGGTTGGAGGTGAGGGAGATCTTGGAATGCCTTCTGGAAAGATGATTGATTTTACAGGAATGGGTTTGCTCTGAGGCGAAGAAATTGCATCGTTGTTGCTGTGGGGACAATATCGCAATCGGAAGTGATACATTGTTAGTTCACTTTCTTGGGAAGTGCACGTAAGCCTGATGCATGCTTCCAATCAAATCAGTGCCTTTCGATTATTATTTTTAAGTAGGGGAACTGGGGGTAGCATTAACACCCTTTGCAATTTCGCAGGTTTCTATTTTATGAATACAAAAAACTGTTGAACACAGATTACACTATTTTGATATGTTCCACTACAAACTGAAGCAGGTTTTTTGAGAATAAAGTTAATCATTTAACGATTAGCATTTCAATGAATTAAAATTGAAATTCTTACTTACTAAATTTTTTATGTATTCTGCACACCCCTAGTTGTCCACAGGACCAACGTGAAAGATTTCCATCCTAGGCGGTTGCTCGCTTTTGCCGTGACCTGGACCCAGGTCGGATTCCTGTCGACTTCCTTTATTTCCTTGTTGAGGTTCCGCCACCATGTGCCCCTGGGTCTGTCTCTGCTGCGGTGTCCTGCCAGGTTCCAATCCAGCTCTTGCTTCCATATTTCGTTTCCGCCCCCTCTTAGTGTGTGGCCGACCGTTCTAGAATTTCGATGAAAGAGCACCGCATTTGAGATCCAGTTGTGAGGCCTTGTTGTATGAGACTGAACACCGCTTACAAGACTACCAGTCGGTTTTGCGTCAGCCATTATCACCGACGTATCCAACGAAATCTGAAGATGAGACCGAAGCAGGCATGGAAAATCATTTACATTCATTTTATGCATTCATTTACATTCATTTGCCTCTAATTTTTTTCATCAACAGCATTCCGCAAAATGTTGTTTGGAGCTTTAGTAGGTTTTGTTATTAGCTATAATTTTTGCCCATAGCTCAAATCTTTATCTCTTATGCACCACGAATTAGAGCGGGCAGAACTTGTTACTGTTTTTCAGTGAATGTAAAATACATTCACTGAACATCAGCAGTGGCTTTTGTTCGCTCTGGTTCGTCATGCATAAGAGATACGGATTTGAGTTGTTTACAAAAGTTGTAGGTAATATTAAAATCTACAAAAATTCCATACATAGTTTTGAGAAATTTTGTTGTTGAAAAAAGTTAGGGGCAAATGAATGTAAATGAATGCACGAAATGAATGCAAATGATTTTCCATGCCTGGACCGAAGTCATTTTGGAGGTACGTGAACGAACAAATGAAGAAGTCCGGCCTCACTTCCACCATGGTTTTGAATGGCGAAGTTGCTTCCGATCCCTCGAATGTGTGTCAGCTTTTTGCCGATAAGTTCGTGGGCACTTTCTGTGCTGAAGTCGTTCCTGATGCTCGTGTTAACCAAATTGCCACCAATGTTTCTATGGTGGAAGATACTTGGGCCACGGTCGTCGTCGATGAAGCTATGATCTCCAGAACTACCTATCAGTTGAAATCATAGATGAATCCGGGTCCAGACGGCATTCTGTCAGTTTTTTTAAAAGGCATATTGACTGGTAAACACTAATGCAACGAAAACGGACTAACAATTAGAAACTCGGAACATGGAACTGCAAGTCTCTCAATTTTTTGGGAATACGACAGCAGCTTGGGCAGCCCAAGCCATGACATCAAAATCGTTATCGGAGACCTTAACGCTCAGGTCGGCCAGGGGAAGGAATTCAGACCGATTATAGGAAAGTTTAACGCTCACCAGAACGTGACCAAAGCTTTGATTCAGCTGAAAAAATTTCAGAGAGTGACATATTTTCATAAACGTTGTTTCGATTTTGAACAAAAAAAAAGTGCTTTAAATTTATTGAAAGTGACGGCGGTTCTTTTCTACTTAACAGCACAGCAGCGAATTCAAGCTCTTGGGGTTGTGAATGATGTCGCGGAAAGGGCTGTAAAGCTTGTTTCCGACCTCAACAACTCGGTAACCAAGAATTCCAAACAACATGAATACCTACTGCAAGTTGTGGAGTACCACCGAAAAATGAAGCCGATGAAATATTTAAGTCTGAGCAGCAGCACATCGCCTGATAAGGTTTCAATAAATTGTGCGCCAAAGCAAATACACACTTGTGAAAAATCACGCTCGTTTCCGATTGACCCCCGTGAAACATAATTGTTGTACTTTACCGGAAACCTGTGTAAAGTTTCATCAAAATCGAAGATTCTTTGCGCATGATATCGGCTTTCCTCCATGCTGAGTGAACCCCCACACAACGTGACTGCCTCGCGCAGACAGCAGCAGGCGGCAGCTGGCAGTGCTGCTAGAAAAAAAGAATAATGAGCAGTTCGTTTGTTTAGCAATCAGTAATGGCTAAATATTTTTTTCCACAAGAGTCGGATCGTTTTGCGGTCTTGTAAGAAAAGTTTCCTTGCAAAATTTTCTAGGAAATGGTTGGGTTGATTCATTTTTAGACGACAATGGGTGACTTCACCAGATTTTTATTTGAAAAAGTAAGTTTTCCCACAGAAAATCCTATGTAAAATTAAAACCGCTGGCGCTAAAATATAGTTCCAACGACCGACCTGAAATTTTACACAGTTATTCTAGGACCCAGAAGGCCCCCGGAAATCATACTGGAACTGGAATTTGAATTTTGTCCAACCCTAGTGACCATACGTAGTACCTATTTCTGGCATAGCCTCCCATATCGGTACACCTGGAGATCACCGCAGCAGAAGAATCGCAAATCGACCACATTTTGATCGACGAAAGGCACTTCTCGGACATTATCGACGAAAGCAAAGGCTCTTTCGACTGCAACGTGGCCAAAGGGAATACTATTCCGTGAGTTCAAGGACAACAGGAATGTTACAAATTTTTGGAACCCTTCTCGAACGCCAAATGCCAATTTATCCCCCAGCATGGAGTCACCCAATTACCTGGATCACCAAGACAACGCCATGACATAATAAGTGACAAATCCCATCGCTGCACAGAGATCGTCAACCAACCTGTTCCTGAATGGCCGGTTTCGTCATTGCCATCTTCTTTGACACATGTTTCACTTGTCTCTACCGAACTTCATCCAAACTCTTTGCCAGTCCAGCAAATTCCATTTGGCTTTTCTTATCAGCCAAAGTTAGGCAGCTGTACACTGGGACGCACCGACGTAGGCCTCATGGAAGCCCTTGTACCTCCCACCACAGTCGAGGCATTCCAGCCAGCGTTCAGCAGTCGTCCCGGCCCTGCGTGTGGGAGTAGTGCAGGGGTCTTCGACTCCTGATCCGCTCATTGTTTCCAGCCAATATTCGCCTGCACCATCAAGGCATCCTTCGCAAGTTGCTCAGACTCTAGGACGTATTGAAACTATACCTGCTCCTTCAGACTTGCTGCTGTATTATCAGAACGTCGGTGGTATCAACTGTGATGTGGACGATTTTCGAGTAGCTACCTTGGATCTTTGCTACGACATCATTATTCTCACGGAGACATGGTTGAATTTACGCACGCTCTCTCGTCAGGTGTTCGGCGACGATTATGAAGTTTTCCGTTGCGATAGGAATGCTGCTAATAGTCGGAAAGTTAAAGCTGGAGGTGTTTTAGTGGCTATAAATTCTAGGTTTAGAGCGAGGTTACTAGAAAATAATGCTAGGAAATGCTTAGAGCAGGTGTGGACGTCGATTAAACTGGGCCGATCATACCTTGTTTCTCTGTGCGGTTTACTTTCCTCCCGACCGTATACGGGAGCGTGACCTCATCGAAACCCATTGCCAATCGGTTTTCTCTGTTCTGGATACCGCCAAAGCAACCGTTGAAGTTATTGTGTTTGGTGACTTCAATCTCCCGGAGATTTCATGAAAAAAAAAACTCGCAATGGCTTCCTCTATCCTAACATGGATCACTCTGTCATCCATTCCTACGCTTCGCTCCTTCTGGACAATTACAGCTCAGCCACTCTTTCTCAAATCAACCATGTTATTAACCAGAACAACCGCAGTTTGGATCTTTGTTTTGTAAGCGCTCAGGACATGCCTCCTTTCTTATGCGAGGCGCCCACTCCTCTGGTGAGACTGGATCGTCACCACCCGCTGCTACTGGTGACGTTAAGTACTAAGCTGATGCATGATTTTAATATTTCACCTGCCACCGTTTCCTACGATTTTCGCAACGCCGACCATGGTAGTATCGCCAAGTTACTCTCCAATTTAGATTGGGACGACTTATTGGACACCGTTGACATTGAGTCCGCCGCTCAAACTATTTCCAATGTCTTGACATATATCATTGACAGACACGTTCCGAAAAATATTCATCATAATACGACCCATCCACCATGGCATACGAGCGAATTTGGTCGACTGAAATCCAGAAAGAGAGCCGCTCTTAGGAAGTTCACCAAGCACCGCACACTATCCCTTCAACGTCACTATGTCAGGACCAATCACGCATACAAACGAGTTGCAAAACGGTGCTTTCTTCAGTATCGACGTGGATTACAGAGAAAGCTTAAGCAGTTTTGGAAGTTTGTCAACGAACAACGCCATGAAGCTGGTCTGCCGTCGTCTATGACACATATTGGTAACGTGGCCTCATCT